TACTACTTCAAAGCTGTTGTGAATGGTGCCAGGCAGATCAGCATAAGATGATCCCAATACAATACATAGAAAACATTATTCTTTAGTATGTCCCCGTAATATCACAAAAGTGTCAACTGTAAAAGTTGAGTGCCGAAAGAACTAAATTTCGCGAAAAGATTTCAAATTTCAAGTCTTCTAATGGCTTAATGTGCATGTAAATTATTGCTTCAAAAACTGCATATTGAGTCGTAGGCTGTGTTGATCATAAATAGTACTATAGTCATAGTAATAGTATAATAGTAATAGTCCTCCTACCGCTTTACCACCTTATCACGGCTGGGAGGTGTTCCTGGGTGTCAAACAGCGATGTATAGCGAGGGATTCATAACTCTAGCATGGTCTCCCAAGCTGGGGAACTAGGAGGTGTTTCCATCAGGAATCCCAGCTAAGAGTGAACAAATACCACGAATCACTACCGCCTGGGTATCAAAATAGTCGCATGGTGGCAAATCTCTCTCTGACCCACAATGACTGCGACTGCATGTGGTGGTGACGACCTGGGGGAAGACTGCCTGGGCTGACCTCGGGACTCCAGGGAACCACAGTGGCCAGACCAGTGAAACTCCGAAAAAATGGAAATTTCGCTGGACGCCACACAACCAGTGTAGATGGGCTCCCTGGAAATTCTCGTTTTTCAAGTTTCCAATGATGTCCTGTGCAAGCCGAGATTTCATCATCTTACACCTGTTGTGTCACCTCCCTAGTTTGTATACAGGAAGCCCCGGTGTGCGCGTTACTGAAGCTGGAGTTTCGCTGGTTGAGCCGTTGCGGTACTCTGGAGTCCGAGATCAGCCTAGCCAAAGCCTTCCTCTGGTCGTCGCCACTCCAGGCAGTGGCGGCCCTTGTTTATCTGTGCGAGATTTGCCGCCATGAAACTTGCTTGGTACCAAGACTGCGGTGATTCCTGGTATTGGTTTAGTCTTAGTTGAGCTTTGGGATGGAAGCATCGGACTGTTTCTCAGCTCGCGAGACTCCGTTCGGTGGAGGAGTGCCAGCTGTACATGGTATTCCGACCTCCGGGAACATACCCAGTCACGAAAAGGCGGCAAACGATTCCAACTATACCTATAAGGAATAGTTCCAAAACTAGAGTTGACACGATGCGAATATTATCGCAGCCGTGAATATGGTGTAGTTCTCGGAATATTACGTAGCAATCAGAGATCCGGACACAGGAACACCTCCCAGCCACGATGAGGCGGCAAACCGTTGGGAGCATACTGATAATTACTAATACTTATTTAGTTTTAACTTTTGCTTACTGCCTATTCCTTTTTCACGGCAGGGTGCTATGTGAATAACAACCACAAGGATGCTGATGTGTGGTCGAAACTCGTGACCTCAGTTGGGCTTCGAACCTGACATTATCGCTTCCGGGGCTCACGTGCTATCCACTACACCAACCGAAGCCTTTGCTTTGGCTTTTCATCGACCTTTGCTTTCTAATTCTAGTCTCTTGATAATTGCCGATAGTGATAACTACCTGATATCTATCTTCTCCATGGTTATGGTACGTGAGGAAATGAGAATCCAAAAATCACATAGAAAAGGCTTTGCGCTATCTCCATCAAGGTGAATACTATCCCTCCAAGGTGATGCCTTTAGTTAAATCTGCTTGAAAATCAAATTGTTGAAGAAATTCAATCTTTTGAAGTATTCGACGTTATCATGGGCATCTATTGGCTCAAAAAATATATGTGGGAACCCAGAGTAGTAGAACAGGAGAACCTTCCTCTTGTCGGTGGTAATCTATAAATTCTACCCATTCTCATTTTAATCAACATCAGTTACTACGGGGACGCGTGTAGCGCAGTGCTCGAGGACGCTCTGCAATCCAAGCCCATCTTCCCTCCGGGGTCGGCAGTTTGGTACCAGACTTGTCTGGGAGGATAGCAGCACCGGCTCGATAAATCGGTAGGATGCCGCGATTCATTGTACAGGCCAGATATATATCCAATCACCTCCAATGATGCTTAATCAAGTCGAATGCATAGCGCATCCATCAGCGATTGATCAACGCCGGCAGCTTTAGCCCTTAACCGTTTTTCGGTTGCTATAAGATAAGACATGTTTGTTCAAAGTCTGAACGTCTAATCACTTTCCACCACGCCTAAGTTCAGTTCAGCACATAAATGGAGAAGTTACTCATTTTGCCTTATTGACACAAACAAGCGCAGCATCCGTAATTACGGAGCATGTGCAGACTCCCCCTCTTTTTCGAGACAGTTTAGACAACGTGTGAGCGTTACTTTTTAGTGTTTCCAGTACAGAGATGTTGTAGTAGTCTTTTTAATGGAGATTCCGTACTAGTGAACTGCATAGGCTATGAAAGTGACGCTGAGATATTTGCAAAACTCCGAACGGCAGGTATCTGCGTTGGAGATCAAGAGCGCTTTTTCCCTTTCCGGGGGCTAATGCGTTCACCACCACACCATCGCCGCCCTTCGTTCCGCATTTTTGTCGGCTAGCTTTCTGTCTTTTTTGTCTAGGCTATGGTTTGGAAAGAAAAAGAAGCTGCGAAGCTTTCTGGAAAACGCGTGCTCGTCGTCGGTGCAGGCGGGATCGGATGCGAACTGCTGAAAAATGCCGCTCTTAGTGGTTACACGGATATCCACGTTGTAAGTTGTTATTGATCTTCTGTGTTTTGTGATATTTTCAGCTCTATACTTTTTATCAGAAGAACTTTCTTTTCTGTTCACTGTGATGTTTTGATAGTTCTAAAATTCAAGTTCCCAAGTTTCTCATTCTTTGTGTGATTTGAGGTTGATATGGACACGATTGATGTCAGCAATCTGAATCGTCAGTTTCTTTTCCGTCGTGAGCATGTCGGAAGATCCAAGGCGGAAGTTGCCGCGGAAGCAGTTCATCAGCTTTGTCCTTCTGTAAAAATCACATTTGATCTCGATAACATATCTAGGTATGGCTTATAATAACTTGGTTATTGCTTTAATATATCAGAAGCCTCCCAACGGTTTACCGCCTCATGCTCCTGGGTGTCTACAGCGGGGGGAAGATTAATCCAATCCGCCCGGTAGGGTCTCCCAAGCTGAGAAATGGTCCGGTGTTTCTATTGGGAAACCCGGCTAGGAGTAAGCCAATACCAGGATCCAGCACCATCCTAATGCCTAACTAGCCGTTGGCAAGTCTTCCTCTGATCTACAAGGGCCGCGACTTCCTGTGGTGGTGACGTCCTGGGCAGACTTTGGCTATTCTCACCTCAGGACTTCAAGGAAACACAATGGCTGAACTAGCAAAACTCCAAGAAAATGGAAAGTATGCTAGAGCCCGCACCACCAGGAAGACGGACCGTCCAATTATCCAAGTTTATATCAGGTCACGACGGAAAATCAATTCTTAACATACATTATTCATTTTCTTCTTTTTATGAAATTGAAATCAGTTATCATCTAAACTAAAAAATATTTTCCTAAACATACCGTGGACTTGAAGTGGTTTGTTAATGCGATTTCTACTTCTATAGCTTCCATATTTGGGTACTTGGACATCTTAGATGGTCTGTCGTCACTGGATTTGCGGGCCCCAGCATAACCTCCATTTTTTCAGAGTTTTCCTGGTTTAGCCATTGTGGTTCCTTAGAATCCCGAGGTCGGCCTGGCTAAAGTCTCTCTCAGTATAACTTCCAAAACTCTAACTTACTGTCTAACTTCCATAACTAACCTCTAACTCTATATATAATTGCATGCTAGAGTGCTATAGAGAGGTTTCTTGATTTGTAGAAAATTTTGCTGTGGTGTCTCTGCTCTACATCATTAGCTGGATGAAGTCTAATCTATCCAGCAGTCTCCTTTTTGTTCTAGTTGTTTTTTAAAATAATTCTATCCAGCCTTATTTCGTGGGAATTGTGTTGGGGTCCGAATGCCTTGGATCATTATGTTTTCAGGATATATTAACTAATATGTTGTGGGATGCGTAGTGCAAAATCTGTAAAATTTATTGTAACGATAGGATGACTAGAGCTGGACGATAGGACAACTTATAGAGTAGTGATATGATTTGGTGGAATGCTTAGTGTTCTTCATTTCCTGTCACAATGTTATCCGTATAACCATCTAAGGGAGCATGAGATTCTCCACTGGTCTTCTATCAGCTGTTTGATTCGAAATTCTTAGGGCAAAGAATTATTTTTTTTTTCATTTCGAACTGTCATTCAAAGTAAGGCATTTTAGTACGAAATTCAGCATACAGTTCTTTCAACAGTTCTCTTTGGTGATGAATGCGTTGGATAACCGAGGTGATTCTGCATATAACTTAGTTTTCATTTCTTCCTCTCAACATCGATTACTAGTCTTCCTTTAGCTGCCCGAAATCATGTAAACAGAATGTGCCACGCAGCAAAAGTTCCGCTCATCGAAAGTGGATCCGCAGGTTATTTTGGACAGGTGAACAGTGTTGCCAGAAACACCTCATTGTCTATCGTTTATTAAAATCATCTGTTAACTTTTTATTTACTGCCTTTTACAATTTTTCACGACAGGGTATTATGTGTGGTATAGCCACAATAGTGCTGAGATATTTGAAAAATTCCAAGCCACAGGTGTCTGCGGTGAGGAACGAACGTGCTGTTACCTTTTCCACAGACTAATGCGTTCACCACCGCACCATGTGGGTCCTTCATTTCGCCTGTCTCTCAGTCAGCTCTATCGATCTTTTTGCCATCAGCAATCACCCGTCAGTGGGAATGATCTGGTATAACTACAGCCTCAGTTTAACTGGGTTCGTTGCCGATTTGGGTTCCTCAGATCATTTCCGCTGACGGGTAATTTCTGATGGCAAAAAGATCGATAGAAGTAGCTGAGAGACAGGCGAAACGAAGGACCCGTATGGTGTGGTGGTGAACGCGTTACTCCCCGGAAATGACAATAGCGCGTTCGTTCCCCACCGCGAACACCTGCGGTCCGGAGTTTTGCAAATATCTCAGCACCATTGAAGTTACATTTCACAATATACCCTGCCATTAAAAAGAGTAGGCAGTAAATAATAAGTTGAAATTGTGGCTAATTTTTCATTTATTGCCTATTGAAATCTTTTATTTTCCAAGTCATTTCTACTGTCGTACTGTGTAAATGTTTCTCTATGTGGTAAACGTAGTTAGCTGTCATTCACCATGCTTTGTCTTGTCAGGTTTTACTTGGTGGAACTTGTTTCGGTTATAAATCAGCTTCTGTTTTAGGTGAAACCAATTGTGCGCGACCTCACAGCTTGTTATGAGTGTGATCCGCGGCCAGAACAAGAGAAGACATACCCAGGCTGTACGATTCGAAACACTCCGAGCGAACATATTCATTGCACTGTGTGGTCCAAACATGCTTTTAAGTAAATGAAATATTCTATATCGTTATTTGTTCTCAGTCAGCCTATTGTGCGTGTATTCATACATTTTGTTTAAGTCAACTATTCGGTGTGCTCGATGTTGATGCCGAGATCTCTCCTGATTTTACCGACAAAGGAGTTGGTGCTGTTGTCATCAGCAATGTCGATGGTGTTGGAGTTGGTCCTATGGAGGAAGGACAGGAAGAAAGTAAAACTAATGGCGTTGCATCATCTAATGATAAAAGCATGACATTCGAGAAACAGATGAGTACGCGTGAATGGGCTGAAACTGTGAAATATGATCCAGAGAAGATTTTTGACAAGGTATGCTGGATGTTGAGAGGATCGGAATCTTTTTGCTCTTATTTTTTTTCACATTATCTGCTACGTGTTGCTGTTCTGCAAAATTCTTTTTTTTTTCTGGGATGGATTATTTCAGTTGTTTCATACTGATATCAGCTATTTGTTGCGGTTGAAAGGTCTGTGGTGCGAACGACGTCCACCTGTTCCAATCCGAAAAGCTGATATCGTGACGGCTTGTGCTTCTTCATCTACATCAAATGTATCAACCTCCACGTTTGATGATATGAATAAGGTATGAACAGCATTTCCGATCTTTTTGATAAATTTTCTATCAGCTTAGTAAGCTTGGACATAATATTGGATTCGTTAATAGTTCTGGGTTCTAAGTTATTCAATGATACTCAATATAGCGAAGTAGAACCCCGCGGTCTTATTTCAATTCACGGAAAGTTCGTAGTTGATGATGTGCTAGTATTTAGGAGAAATTAATGAAGTATTTAGTCATTATTTAACTGATACTTCTTCAAAAATTCAAGCGGAATGTGGCATATTTTCTGTTCATCAGGGATTTTATATGATGATTATTGTAATTGTCTAATAGGGTCTTTATGTGTAGTCAAAGAAACCTGTGTCGGGACGCTTCCAGGTCGTCATCACAGATAGTCACAGAAAATTGAGTATCGGAGGGATATTTGCGTTTTATAACTGATTTTAATCTATAATGGAAGAACAGTGATTTAATTGATTTAGTGTTAAGACACCGGTACTGCTAAATTTTACAGGTGTGGTCATTGGCGGAGTGTGCGGAAATATTTTGCGAATGTGTCGTTGCTTTAAGCCGACGTAAGAATGACGAGAATACAGTTCTCCATTGGGATAAAGATGACGAAGTTGCTATGCGGTTCGTGGCTGCGTCCGCCAATATACGTGCAAGCATTTTTGGGATTCCTTGTAAATCACTGTTTGAAATCAAATGTAAGTTTTGTTTTCTCATTTGTCACGTGTTTTGTCCTTCATGGAAAACGTCATAGTTTCCATTAGAGAAAAAAAAAGACTTGGTCTGTTGAATTACCGTTTGCTAAGAAAAGATATGGAATAATTGGATCAATATAGCCCGATCTATTTTTGAATTCGTTTCCTTGACCTTCATGATGATCGAGACGATTCTAACTGGAGTCCTAATATAGTCGAGATAGAGCATTATCTGTTGGATTGCAGAGAGTGAATTTTCTCACATAAGTCCGGCACTAATTTCCCGACACTGGAAGGGTGAGAGGCGCGGTGGACCCGGAGCCGGATCGAACCAGCACCGTGGTCGTGTTGATTGGCATTACTACGACTGTGAAATCTTGTCCCCTATGCGAGCTTGGTTCTATCCCACCCCTTTGTTCACCAAGTCTCTCATCCCTCTGGAGTTGGGAAACTGGTACCGGAATTTTGTCCGAAAATTCACTCTCTTCTTAAACCATTTTCATACACTACCGTATTGTCAATGATACTTAAATGGCAGGAAGTGTGGGATCTGTGTCGTGATTGTGGTTTTTGTAAAGTTAAAGATTTGTGACAATTAAGGCCAAAGCGAAATTTTTGCACTTAATTTCGTCTCTTCGTCGAAGCGTGTTTATGGTATTCTTGAAATATATTCTTTTCTTCTCATTGGATGCATTGATACAGCACGTGAAGCTGAATCATTATATCACTTCCGTGTTACCACGAAGTATTGAGCCCATTTTTGACTGAGCAGTTTAAAAATATTTCGCTTGCCGAATTTATGAAATTTAATTTACGGGTTCGTCTTTTCTCTTGCTTTTGCTAACAATGATGAAGATATACCTCTTCACACTGAGATCAGTGTTAACAGAAAAAAAAATGAAATTGTCGGCGTTGATCAATTCATGAGAGATGCACCACGCATTCGACTTCATTAAGCATCGTCGGAGACGATCGAATGCATATCTGACGTTTACAATGACTTGCTGTGGCCTACCGATGTATCGTGCCATTGTTGCTGTCCTTCTAGCCAAGTCAGGTACCAATTTACCGACCACGGGTAGGTGGATGGCTTGGTGAACCTTGGGTGCGGGATTCCAGTGTGTCTGATGCCTCCGACCACTGCGCAACACATGACCTTCTATTGGCACAGATTTCGAAATTCCATGTCTGAATTCGGTTTTATATCACCTCTGAGCGTTGGCGTAAAGTGGTGACGAGTGGTTGGCGTACAATAGCCCTCAGTTTCTTAGTACCTACTCTTAATATTCCGTGTGACAGAAGATACTAGTGCCATCCAGTGCAAAAACGCCGCTTCTCACTTTTGAGTGTATGTGTAGTCTGGTTTGAAAGTCATACATCGAGCTTATTCTTTTATTTTTTCCTGCCTTAATTCCTTGCGACTGGTTTTTTCGCTGTCCTTTTTTATGAACGAAGTTTACCTTTCAGCAATGGCTGGGAATATTGTTCCTGCTATTGCGACTACGAACGCAATAGTTGCTGGTATGGTTGTGGTCGAAGCGGCAAAAATAATCGCAGGAAATTTTGATAAACTTCGTTGTGTTTTTACAGTGAGCGCACCAAATGCGAGAGGAAAGGTGAGTTTGACGGTTTTTTAAGTTTCTTTATATGGTCTGATTGTGATCATAGAATAGTTGTAACATGGAGTAATGTTGGTGAGTATTTATTATTTTTATTATTACATGACCCACCATCACCATATGTCAAGGTGCGGTTCCTAGCACTCGCATTCGATTCCTGTCCTCTCGTCCACCGTCCACAAAGGTCTCCGGATGTTTTTACATGTGGTTTCGGCTGCTGTTTGAGGATTTTTCCGCTTTTGTCACGAATGTTGTTTTATGCTATCAAATCGAATCTATCTGCAATGCTGAGAAGCCGTGGTAGAGCATTCCCTCGTGGATTAGAATGAGCTCGTTCCGGGCAAGTGTATTGCCAATTTCCCGACTCCGGTGTGATGGTAGACTTGTTGGTCCTGGAACGGGGTCACACCAGCGCATGGGTATGTTGGGCTGTTCACATATTGAATAGGTTCATTAACACTGCATTACCCGCTCCCTAAAACGGTGAATGTATTCTGTGCCGATAAAGAAGAACGTCTGAGAAAATTAGTTACATTTATACCTTATTGACTAGTATGTGCTTTGCAGGCTGTATTTTTAATCTACATTTCTCTGTTTGTACATGTATCTGACCGTTTGATAAGCATCTTGCTTGTAAATAGGTGCTGGGCAAAGGAAAGTAGCTTGTTCTTAAAGTTCTAAGAGCAAATGTTTCACTTCATAGAGAATTTTATTAATCTTCGTGAAAACTGTTGTAACCTCTATATCTTTGTTATCAGTGCAAATGTAAACCTAGTCTGTCACAGTGAAATGCCAAAGTTTCTTTTTTACCATTTCGAAACCTCATGCCAACCATTTTTCATATTTATTATTGATTCTTCCACAGATTTTGGTGGATCATCCTCCATTCCCATCCAAACCGAGTTGTTTTGTTTGTTCGGATAAACGCGAATGTTTTGTTCGAGTGAATCTTGAACAGATGACTGTCAAAGCTCTACAGGATAAGGTTCGTTTAACATAGCTTCGTATCTTTGTCATATCGTAATTTTTTTTACACAGTTATTGTTTAACACTTGTCCACTGATGTCTTTGTATAAGTGCTGCAGCAGAATGGCCTTTATTTTCTTGGCTACCCTTTCTTTTGTCAAACATAGTTTGGCTGTATTTTTTGTGTCCAGAAGACGACTTATATAATGCAGTTCTTTTGCCAGTGTAGTCCATGAAAAGTTGTTCTTCAAATTTAACAATTTGCGCAACACTTCGGATTAGCTCGTTTCTCTTTTTCGAATTCGGGCAGGACACCTACTAACAGAATTGATGTACGTGTACCCTGTGTTCGAAACTTGGGGATTCTCCATAGGGATAAAGTGGTAAATTATTGAGGAAGCTTGGATAGACACATTTGTAGTATGTGGAAATTGTATGCGTTCACATAGTGCGCATTCTTCAGTATATACTAGACATCTTTGGAAACACTATGGATTCTTGTCACAAGCCAGGGAAATGAAAAAATAGCACAAAGCTTTTACTAATTGTTGGGAACGTTGTACTCAAAAACATCCATGTAGCGTTCTAAAAGTATTAGAACTAACACTTTTCGACATGATATTTGCAGTCATTACTCGTAATCTCTACTTTGTGTAGTTTCCACACAAAGTTTACATTCATTTGCAACCATAACAATCCTGCAAGTTTTGAAATTTGCGGTTTTCACGTGAGATTCAACTTTACACTGTCGTGAATTTTTACATTATTCACTGTTTTAAATGTTATGAGAGTGTTCTGAACAGCATTATTTATTCCCTATGTTCTTGCTGATCAGGTAATATTTCTTGCATTCGCTGCACTTTAGTGATGACGTGCTTGCCAAGATTTGAAGCGGATCAGCAGTGGTGATAATTTGCTAACATCGTACAGCAACTAAAATATTCTTTTCGATAAAGGGGTTTCTTCCGGTCCATGGCTGAAGAAAGATGCGGCCCACCTACTTGAATTAGACTGTAATATACATGAGTACTGAACTGGGTTACCAAAATCCTTTGTACATCCCGCGCCTTTGGTGGCTTGACGGAGGATTGAGCACGATCATGCAGCCCTTATTTCTTTGAATGCGTTCATATACCTTCTTTTAATCTTCTGCTGGATGGTTTGCTTGAAAAGCCCTTTTTTATTTCTCGTACATATTCCATTCAGATAGTTTTTTCTCTTGAGCAGTCTCCTTTCCTAAGAAACACTTCCACATTAATTATTCGTGAACAGATGCGTCATTCAATCGAATAAATCATTCAAGAACCTGATCGGTTGCATTATCGGCGAAGTCAAGATGTGACCAGCAAGATTTAGATTACGTACTTTTCTTCACTTTGGACCCACGATGATCGTATTCGGAAATAGAACAAGTGCTCCAGTAGTCCCAACTTATCACAAGGTTGGCGGTATAGCAATTCCCATGTGACAACAGATACCGATGAATCTGTTTTTTTCCAAGGCTGAAGGTTCCCATGATTCTTGTATTTCTATATCTATATATGTACATGTGTATTGTTTATATCTGTTCGATTCTTCTCCAGGCGGTTCCCAAATGGTGGTTATAACCAAGCTCCGTGTATTCAAACAAGAGTTGGTGGTTAACTCAGAATTGACTATTATCAAAAATCTGGCGATAAAGTACCATATTATCTGACCACCTGTACCTTTATCGCCCATTACCTTGTCGTCATCATCGTTCTCCTTATTCTCCGACTCACTTTCTTCAGATCCTTTGAGGAAGAGTGTAAGGGAGTCCATCGGCTTTTGATCGGAATCAAAGCTCTGTTCAGTTCTTACCGTCGTGATGCAATATCTGCAAATTCAATTTTTGACTGGTATTTGGTAACTCTTTCATTTGCAGTTCCTATGATGAATATAGTTATAGTAGAAGAGGCAACTATTTGAAAAAAGATTAGAGAAAGCTTTGGATTATACTTTGTATATCATGCACAAATTTACACGGAGTAGTATCAGCTAGGTGAAAATAGGTAGAAAAAAAGGAGAGCGCGTTAGTTTTAGCCACAGCGTGGGTCATCTGCATTAGACTCAGTGCAAAACGCGTGCTGCAGGAAAATGAATTTCGAGTCATGCGAGAGAAGGATAAGTAATATCGTGTTATATCTTTATAGATTTTAAAAGGAGCACTGAACATGGTTGAACCTGATGTTATTGACGTGACAACATCTCGCGTAATTATAAGCAGTGACGAAGATGAAACTTCTGGTATGTGGTAAATGTAACGCTTGCTGATGTGTCGAAATAGCAGTTTAGCATGGCTTAGTAACTGATTGTTTCTTCAGATATTGAATCGAAAACATTGTCTGAGCTTTCGCTTAGAAATGGCTCGGTGTTGCTTTGTGACGATTTTCGTCAACAACTTGAATTCAAGTTCATCCTAAGCGAGTGCAGTACGTTGAATGGAGATGAGTTTGAGGTATATTAAAAGTTTAGATTCTGTTACATTAATACTTAGATACTTGGATGGGCCGTCTTCACTGGTTGTGCGGGCGCCAGCACAACTCCCATTTTTTCGGAGTTTTGCTGGTTTAGCCATTGTAGTTCTTTGGGGTACTGAGGTAAACCTAACCAAAGTGTGCCCGACGTCGTCACCACCACAGGCAGTCGCCGCCCTTGTGGATAAGAGGGGGGTTTGCCACTCTGCGAGTAGTTTAATACCGGAACGATTGTGGATCCTGGTATTGATTTACTCTTACCCGGGTTTCTTGGTGGAAACACTGGATTCCTTCTCAGCTTGGGAGACGATACTGGGAAGGTAAATCCTTCCGCTGTACATCGCAGCCCGACACCCACAGTCACTTCCCAGCCACAATGAGGCGGTAAACCATTAGGAGGATAGTTTTTTACTTTACTCTTTATTTACTGCCTATTTTTATATTATATTATATTATTATAGGGTTTGATATAAAATCATGGTTGTAAGCTGAAAATTTTGACGTACATTTCGTCCTTTTAGCTAGATTGAAATTGTGCGGTTATACAGGCCAATGTGTCTATTTAGGTACTGCGAGATAGTGAAGAACTAAAAGAAGACACTGAAGAAGAAACTCGAAAGAGGAAGAGCGACGCTGCTGCTCATCTGCAAGATGGAGAGACTGCAGCTAAACGTGTTAAACTATAACTTATGGGTGAGCTCGTGGACTTGCAGTATTTTTAGTAATATTTGTGTAATTTTATGTGCTGTATTATTTTAGTATATATTATCATTTTGTTTTTCATTTTAGTGCAAATCATTCGTAGCTCCTGTTAATTTAGAGTTTTATTTAGCCTTTGTTCCACTACTTTCTCCTGTGAATGCATTTTCAAGACATCACTAGATATTAGATGTGAGTTCAATCAGATTAGGATCGTTCAATCAGATTAGGATCAGCACTTCGTTTATTTGTGAATGTAAAGACTTTAGTCCATTACATTGAGTTAGATCGCCACTGTGAAGCATAAATGTTGCTGTAGATAAGGAGCACAGCAACTTGCTTAACGTCGTTGCTTTCAGCTGTTTTTCTACCCGCGCTCCTGTAGTGGACTGTGGTCTGAAGGTGCAGTTTGTTTTTGTTGCTATTATCTTAATCTAATAAATGTTATTTTTATTATTATGCTATGCAAACATGAATTTCAAAAATGGTATTGAAGCAGGTTCATTGCAAATCCATAGACTGTTATTCCGAGAAATGGAACATAGGTTTATGAGTATGCTATATCTTTGAGTCAACAAGTGCAGGCTACTTTGTCGTTTTTGGATCGGTTTTGGGAAATTGAAGTCCATGGCAGAAATAAGAATGACATGTATGGACGTCTAGACGGGACGAAGATGCTGTTATCACTCAACTGTGAGTCACCTAGAATGGTTGGCGTTCATGTGGTTTCTAACTATCAGAACGGTGAAACAAATATGTCGAATAGAGCTTCCATGCTTTTTAGTTGGAGTTTTCTCGGTTTTTTTTTTCAAGAACTACTCTTCAATTCCTTTATCCAGTCTTGACATCCATATTGGAGGGAGATCCGATAAGACGACACCGTCTTTTGAAGACTGTTCATAACGCTACTGAGTAGACAATGTGATCACGGGATTGTGAGAAAACGGGGATATCGGTTGATTTGGAATTACTGTTCTCTGTCTTTCCCATGATTACCACTGATGCAGAGGCTGTGGTCTGAGTCATCGTTGCGGGGATTGTGAATCAATCACGACAACTAGATTACGGAAGGTCAATAGTGCGAAAGAGAATGAATTGAGATGGCTGACTTTCCAGTTGTGTAATTAATTACGTTCTAATTCAAAGCATGTTGTATGTATACCGCCTATTCGGCTGCCTAGATAAGATGATCACAGCGCTGCACGAAAGTAGGACGGTATAGATCACTCTCTGTTGTCGTATTGATGACCAATCAAAGAGTTAAAATATTTACTCTCAACTGATTGATTCCACTACTATAATGTGAGTTGGAACCCTAACCACGTCAGTGGTTCTGGTTATCACCCACAAAGCTCCACAGCCGTTTTTTAATGTTACTGAGTCACCCGGTATAATCAAAGAGTATGGATGAAAAAGGCAGTGAAGTTGGACCCATGGAATGCAATGCTGTTATTCAGCGGTAATTTGAAAATTATCGGTGATCGCTACCGTCGACCACTCATATTCGACTCTCAAGATTCGTGGAGAAGTCACCTGTCGTCTTAGATGACTATCACACGATTGTACTAACGTGTTTGCCAAGCCGGCCATCGTTTAAATTGGGCATTAATAAGCAATGCCTTCTTGGATTATCAGGCTAACACGAGTTTGATGAAAAGTGTCTATTCGGCTGACGTTTCGACGCCTTCGTCTTCTTCAAGGCCGATGATCCTTGTCGGTGGTCCACAGACATTCTTCTCTATGTAACGTCTTCGTTTTCGTATCTAGTCGAATCTTCCTCAGTGGAACACCGCTTAAATGAGGCAGTCTCACCCGGCAATATTTTGTATAGTGTGGTTCTTGTTGGTAATTATTGTGCGCTGAGGATAATTTGTTTTTCAACGGATATCCTGCAGCAGTCGGTATTATGTTAGCTAGCATATAGCGAATAAAGCTAATAACAAAGTCGAAACGTAAGCTGAACAAACAGATCGGTGATGTTCACTTAGGCTAACTTTTAAGAAATTACTGTAGTATTAAATGTGTTCATCCTGAGCTTTTTCTGCCGACTTGACTACCGAGTAATTTGTCTAGTACCAGATAGCGTATAGAAGATACAATTCTTTAAAGATTTTTTCATGTGGAGTAACTCATGGTGGAATTGCTTTATATAGAAAGGTTTTTATTCATGTCGTCTCTTGACAATGAAGCTTTATCTTCGACCGCGTTCAAGGTATCTCCTAGTTGACGAATATAAGAACGGCGATCGACATGGCGCAAATGTTACATAAATTGCTGCCCATAGACTCATTCCGAAATGTAGCTTGTTCCTCATGCTTCCGTGTTCCGAGGGCGCTCTTAATTTTCTATTGGGGTGAACACAAATAAGGCTTTTGAGTTCTGCAGACAATAGTTAACAAATAATTTTGGAAAGGACAACATAAGGTTTAAGAGAAGGCTCTTAACCAATATGGATAGGACCTATTCTCTGGCGGAAATAACGGAAAGTGCAGAATTCTAAATCTGATACAAGTGGTATTCTGACGATGGACACGTCTATCCGCCTTGCAATCGTCATATATTTCCCATCTTTACTTTTCGCATCTGTTTATCCTTAGCGTTTTAATTTATGTTTACGAAATTTATGAATTCTAACAGTTCATTTTAGACCAGAGAGCAATACCACTGTTTTCCTAAAAACAAGTGTTTTTGACCTGTGTTGCGAGAATCACATGATTTGTCATAGGAAGCAGATGAATTATTGGTATGATCTCCTTGCCTGTGTTGTGTTGGATTGACATCTTTATTTTTTTTTGTCTTAAATGACTCATCATCACATCTACTGTGCGGATCCAACACTTCTTGAATTTCGATTCGTTTTCCTCGTATTCGTCGCCCAGTCTCCGAGTTCTTTGCGTGTTATTTCGGTTATAGCTTGAGAACTTCGTCTTCTTTATGGATGCTGAAGAATGCTGACTGAGTCGATGAGTCGATTCTCATTGCAATCATGGACATAGCCGAGCTAAGGCGTCCCTACGTGAATTGGAAGCAAACGCCCAGTCAGCACCTTGCTTCTTGATGGACTGCATCATTAACCACTGCGCTATCCCCTCATGTTTGACATATACTTTCTGTGTTTATCTAAACATATTCCCCAATGGGTGAGTATGTTCTCGTGTAAATTCAGATTATATCTTATAAGCCATTTCGAGCAGAGGTCTCAAATCATGTAAGTGGGAAGCACGTTGTCGTTGATTGCGAGTCGTCCCTTATAAATAATAAATACGAGTCTGATTTACTCTTACTACCCGTGAAGACATCCAGCTGAACTGTAAACTTCTGCAATATGTCTGTAACAATGGACAGCACCTGAATCCGCCATTGAGGACGTGGCGATACAGATTAAGGAGATTATGTAAGCAACGGCCTGGTTAAGGTGAGAAGTCATCGTCCATCAAGCACCATCTGTAACATTAGAGAACTTTCACTCGAAACATTCAGCAGTAGAGGAGTCAGAGGTGTACGCGCCGTCTACATCAAAAGCTGCCTGGTCTGAAATTCTGTTGCTTTGAACAAATACAGTAACCAGTAAAATACAATGGACAGCAAAATATTTATAATAATGTGTGAGAAATATGGCATAAAAACATAAAGTGCAGAAGTACTAAACTCATATAAAAATATGGATCAACAAATTTTGAGATTCACTGTGTTGTCGATTAGCAGCTGCGAGGTTGATAATAACAAGATTTATTCAACAGTGGCTGACGTTTCGGCTGCCGGTTTCGTCTCCTGGGTCTGAGTGAAATTGGCACACAATGCACTCAGTCAACCATTTTCATAACGGAAGGGAAACGCAATACCTAAATTTCTGTCGCATGGGAAACAGTTTCTTTCAAACATTCACCGTTTTGTTCTTTATGTCTTCTAGTAATTGCTGGAGATCAGTCGCATAGAGCATGTGCGACAACATGTGCGAGCAATGTACCTGGCTCAGGTCGTAGAATCATTCTGAGGTATGGCGTGAGGTCAAACGTGACCACAAGGCACTCCTGTTTGCGGCTCATTTTCGGATTTCTGGAATTAATCCAAAATGCTTCAAGAGTTCCACGCGCTGATGTTTTGGATTCCTGTGCGACGTTGTTGACTTCTACTTTAAAATCTTCCTTGTTATGTGTTTGAGTCCTTTGCGAGCCTAATGTAGCATTAGGTTTAAGTTTACCGACTAGGTGTACTTTTATGCGGAGACGCAGTGGTCTACTGTGTTTGCCGGAGTATTCGTCTCCGCGTGCTTTACAAGAGATCAAGTAGAACGTGCCCGATCACGATCTATGCCGCTGGGCCAAATATGCAATTTTGCGCTGAACTTAGATGGTCATACATGCAGTTATGAACTTGCTGCCGTCTTGAAATATTCAGTTATATTGCAACCACGGCTGCTAAATTCTTTAGATCGGTCGTTTTTAAAGCATCAGTTTATAGTTGTGCTTACTTCATTGTAGATAAAAAGCAGGTTGAACGCTATTTTACTATCACACAAGTCTGGCACCTATTTGCTGATCTCAAGGGAAGGGAGACTTTTTCATTCCTAGGTTTGACACGTCGTATTTCGCTCAAGTTCTTCGATGAAGTCTTGGAGATCAGATAGCGGTTCACGTTTTCTGACTATATTATTAAACACTGTCGCAATTAATACATTTTGCCATTATAAAAATCAAACAAAATATCGGTTTCTTGTTAAGGCGATTATGGTGTACTACTTGTGAAAACATGATCAACGTTTCTTTTCCTGAGTAAGAGATTGAGATAGAGATAGAGATGGAGACAGGGATAGAGATGGAGAGAAAGAGTCTCCTCATTCATCCTCTTCAACCAGTGTAATGCAGGATTTCAAGAATTTTGCAAATTGGAGGCTTAGAAATAGAATTATGAGATTATTATTTTTGGCATAAGAAAGACTAGTTTGATGCAATAGTAAAACTATTTGGGGAACTTATATTGTCGAGTA